TTCGTTTATCATTTGTCATAATTACACTTTTTAAACCTAATTCAGACAACCACTCAAAATAAAATACAGTAATTGAGTTGATTTTTTAAAATAAATACAATAAATGAGTTAATTTTTTTGAAATCTTTTTTTTTTAAGTTTTTTTTACTTGGTCCATATTTTTTAGATAAGTATGTTTGTGATTTTTTTCTTCTTTACCAGTTTTCACGGTCGGTCTTAGAAAAATCAAGTTTTCGAACTTTGACCGTTTCATAGAAACTTTTTGAATTTTCTTGAAAAATACTCTATCGAATTTGAAATAAAAATTCGATCAAAAGAAGCGGTTGCGCAATTTTTTTTCCTGCAGAAGCGGCTAATCCTTAGTTTTGTTGTTGATAAATGATATGTCTTTTCACTCTTCTCACTTATTTTAGTAGAGAAACAGCTAGGGATTTGGCCAAAGTCCAATTTTTTAAATTACGCATTTTATCCCTCATCAGTATTACAAAATGAAAAAAAATCAAGCTTTAGGTGTCTTAGGTGTCCTTCATCAAGAAATTTTTATTTTATCTATTTTTTTCAACAATTTTCATTTTTTTACTCATGTTTTTTTATGATTGCATTGTTTTGCAAGTGATGTTTATTTGTGTTCATTTTGTTTTTTTTTTCAGCCTTTAAAATATACGTCTTCGCCTGTGTTTGCAAAGCGCAGTTTTGTCTCCGTGTTTTTTTGCGTGTCTTTTTTGTTACGAGTAAGCAACATGTGGGTTTTCTTTTTTTTCCATTAAATTGGGAAGGAACTGTGTCTACGGGTGTTTTTTAATTCTTTTGTTCTTGCCATTGAAAGTGAAGAGAACATTTTTTGAATTCTTAGCAAAAACGTTTTCAGTATTGATTCGAGCAAAACAAAAAAATTCAAAAAGTGTTCCGGATTTCGAGAAAAATGGGTTCAAAAACTTCTCTTTTTAGTCTTATTTCGAGCGCGTCTAGCGAGTTGAACGTAATCCTCGTTGAGTTTCGCTGCTTTTTTTCGTTTATCATTTGTCATAATTACAATTTTTAAACCTAATTCAGACAACCACTCAAAATAAAATACAGTAATTGAGTTGATTTTTTTAAAATAAATACAATAAATGAGTTAATTTTTTTGAAATCTTTTTTTTTTAAGTTTTTTTTTACTTGGTCCATATTTTTTAGATAAGTATGTTTGTGATTTTTTTCTTCTTTACCAGTTTTCACGGTCGGTCTTAGAAAAATCAAGTTTTCGAACTTTGACCGTTTCATAGAAACTTTTTGAATTTTATTGAAAAATACTCTATCGAATTTGAAATAAAAATTCGATCAAAAGAAGCGGTTGCGCAATTTTTTTTCCTGCAGAAGCGGCTAATCCTTAGTTTTGTTGTTGATAAATGATATGTCTTTTCACTCTTCTCACTTATTTTAGTAGAGAAACAGCTAGGGATTTGGCCAAAGTCCAATTTTTTAAATTACGCATTTTATCCCTCATCAGTATTACAAAATAAAAAAAAATCAAGCTTTAGGTGTCTTAGGTGTCCTTCATCAAGAAATTTTTAATTTATCTATTTTTTTCAACAATTTTCATTTTTTTACTCATGTTTTTTTTATGATTGCATTGTTTTGCAAGTGGTGTTTATTTGTGTTCATTTTGTTTTTTTTTCAGCCTTTAAAATATACGTCTTCGTCTGTGTTTGCAAAGCGCAGTTTTGCCTCCGTGTTTTTTTGCGTGTCTTTTTTGTAACGAGAAAGCAACATGTGGGTTTTCTTTTTTTTCCATTAAATTGGGAAGGAACTGTGTCTACGGGTGTTTTTTAATTCTTTTGTTCTTGCCATTGAAAGTGATGAGATAATTTTTTGAATTCTTAGCAAAAACGTTTTCAGTATTGATTCGAGCAAAACAAAAAAAATCAAAAAGTGTTCCGGATTTCGAGAAAAATGGGTTCAAAAACTTCTCTTTTTAGTCTTATTTCGAGCGCGTCTAGCGAGTTGAACGTAATCCTCGTTGAGTTTCGCTGCTTTTTTTCGTTTATCATTTGTCATAATTACACTTTTTAAACCTAATTCAGACAACCACTCAAAATAAAATACAGTAATTGAGTTGATTTTTTAAAATAAATACAATAAATGAGTTAATTTTTTTGAAATCTTTTTTTTTTAAGTTTTTTTTACTTGGTCCATATTTTTTAGATAAGTATGTTTGTGATTTTTTTCTTCTTTACCAGTTTTCACGGTCGGTCTTAGAAAAATCAAGTTTTCGAACTTTGACCGTTTCATAGAAACTTTTTGAATTTTCTTGAAAAATACTCTATCGAATTTGAAATAAAAATTCGATCAAAAGAAGCGGTTGCGCAATTTTTTTTCCTGCAGAAGCGGCTAATCCTTAGTTTTGTTGTTGATAAATGATATGTCTTTTCACTCTTCTCACTTATTTTAGTAGAGAAACAGCTAGGGATTTGGCCAAAGTCCAATTTTTTAAATTACGCATTTTATCCCTCATCAGTATTACAAAATAAAAAAATCAAGCTTTAGGTGTCTTAGGTGTCCTTCATCAAGAAATTTTTAATTTATCTATTTTTTTCAACAATTTTCATTTTTTTACTCATGTTTTTTTTATGATTGCATTGTTTTGCAAGTGGTGTTTATTTGTGTTCATTTTGTTTTTTTTTTCAGCCTTTAAAATATACGTCTTCGTCTGTGTTTGCAAAGCGCAGTTTTGCCTCCGTGTTTTTTTGCGTGTCTTTTTTGTAACGAGAAAGCAACATGTGGGTTTTCTTTTTTTTCCATTAAATTGGGAAGGAACTGTGTCTACGGGTGTTTTTTAATTCTTTTGTTCTTGCCATTGAAAGTGATGAGATAATTTTTTGAATTCTTAGCAAAAACGTTTTCAGTATTGATTCGAGCAAAACAAAAAAATTCAAAAAGTGTTCCGGATTTCGAGAAAAATGGGTTCAAAAACTTCTCTTTTTAGTCTTATTTCGAGCGCGTCTAGCGAGTTGAACGTAATCCTCGTTGAGTTTCGCTGCTTTTTTTCGTTTATCATTTGTCATAATTACACTTTTTAAACCTAATTCAGACAACCACTCAAAATAAAATACAGTAATTGAGTTGATTTTTTAAAATAAATACAATAAATGAGTTAATTTTTTTGAAATCTTTTTTTTTAAGTTTTTTTTTACTTGGTCCATATTTTTTAGATAAGTATGTTTGTGATTTTTTTCTTCTTTACCAGTTTTCACGGTCGGTCTTAGAAAAATCAAGTTTTCGAACTTTGACCGTTTCATAGAAACTTTTTGAATTTTCTTGAAAAATACTCTATCGAATTTGAAATAAAAATTCGATCAAAAGAAGCGGTTGCGCAATTTTTTTTCCTGCAGAAGCGGCTAATCCTTAGTTTTGTTGTTGATAAATGATATGTCTTTTCACTCTTCTCACTTATTTTAGTAGAGAAACAGCTAGGGATTTGGCCAAAGTCCAATTTTTTAAATTACGCATTTTATCCCTCATCAGTATTACAAAATAAAAAAAAATCAAGCTTTAGGTGTCTTAGGTGTCCTTCATCAAGAAATTTTTAATTTATCTATTTTTTTCAACAATTTTCATTTTTTTACTCATGTTTTTTTTATGATTGCATTGTTTTGCAAGTGGTGTTTATTTGTGTTCATTTTGTTTTTTTTTTTCAGCCTTTAAAATATACGTCTTCGTCTGTGTTTGCAAAGCGCAGTTTTGCCTCCGTGTTTTTTTGCGTGTCTTTTTTGTAACGAGAAAGCAACATGTGGGTTTTCTTTTTTTTTCCATTAAATTGGGAAGGAACTGTGTCTACGGGTGTTTTTTAATTCTTTTGTTCTTGCCATTGAAAGTGATGAGATAATTTTTTGAATTCTTAGCAAAAACGTTTTCAGTATTGATTCGAGCAAAACAAAAAAATTCAAAAAGTGTTCCGGATTTCGAGAAAAATGGGTTCAAAAACTTCTCTTTTTAGTCTTATTTCGAGCGCGTCTAGCGAGTTGAACGTAATCCTCGTTGAGTTTCGCTGCTTTTTTTCGTTTATCATTTGTCATAATTACATTTTTTAAACCTAATTCAGACAACCACTCAAAATAAAATACAGTAATTGAGTTGATTTTTTAAAATAAATATAATAATTGAGTTAATTTTTTTTAAATGCTTTTTTTTAAGTTTTTTTTTACTTGGTCCATATTTTTTAGATAAGTATGTTTTGATTTTTTGCTACTCGAGCATCTGACATAACTCTTTAATGAACTCTTCTTTTTTTAAGCTGTCGGAGACACTTTTAAAGAGTAGAACTACTTTTTGAATTATTCCCTCCTGGCATTGAGTTTACTATTTTTTGCTTCCGGTAAATTCAATTTTTTTTTAAATAATTCAAGAAAACTTTCTTTTTCTTGTCATTTAATTTTTGCGAAAGAATATTGGGAATTATGCCTAATTAATTAACGTTCTACGCAATCATATAGTTTTCTCGACTCAACAAGCACATAAAATATGAAACTAATTGGACTAAAAAATAGAGATAATCTTTCCTTTCATTTTTTTTAAGAATGTGGTCGGAATGTTCTGTGCTTCCTGCACAGCAGCCGGTTAATCGTGTTAGATTTATTGGTCTACTTTAATCTTTGACCTAAGTTTTTCTTCTGTTGTTGGATCAACCATACAATAATCCCCACCCCCTCCCCTAAGTGACCTACCGTAGAATGTTCTCCCTAAGCATATGTATTAAATCTAAAAATTGATCTGTATAAAACGTGCATTTCATGCGTTGTACGGTTGATCCCTTTTGTTTTTCATTTCCCCTTTATTTATTTTTCAGCATCGCAATTATTGCAAAAGCTCCAAATTTTAAGTTATAATTGATATTATCTGCGATGAAGCGTGTTGTCGGCGTAATGAAAAAGAAACTGGTTCAACCTTTTGAAGTAAAACTTCAACAGGGATGCGTTTGAGCTATTTGTGAGCGAGTGCGTTTTGGAGGAAAGAGCACATACCTGTAATAAGCAAGTTGCAACATGATCTGAACGAATATGTCTGGATTGATGTTGGCTCTTTTGATCATTCCTTTGGTCAGGTCAAACAAATTGATGTGATCCATTTTGACATCGGAAGATTGGCTGAAAACCACCTCACATAAGCGTCACTTTTATGATGCAACGAGGGGCTTTACAAGGTTAAGTAAGTATGAACACCAAATATGTTTGTTACTGCCTTATTAGTCCGCATGTCAGTTTTCATAACAATCAGACAATGAGAACAAAAAACTAATTGAAAAAAATTTGCAGGTGGGGTGAAGGAAAAAGAAAAAGCCGTTTTTTTCCATTTTGAAACTTTGTGTTCCAAATGCAATTGGAATTGGAAAATTAGACCCGTGAATCTGGGAAACTGGTGACTACCTGCGGAACTTGGTCTTTATGTCGTGTAGCTTCTCCCTGGCTTCGCAGTCCACGTCCCAAATGAGAGGCTTCGGACACCCCAGGATCTCATTGGACTTCCACCTGTCATCTGATGAAGACATCCTTCCACTCTCTTCATCTCTGCAAAATGATTCTTGTTAAACAGCTGCAAAATTTGGAACAGACACAGACAAACTTAATTTAGACTCATCTGCTACTTATGAACAATTGCATGAAAATTGAACTTTCAAGCTTTTTTTGTCAAATAATTTTTGTCTGAAAAATATCGATTGCATGCAAGCTTTACTGAAATAGGTCATTTACTCTTTTAAATTAATTGTTTTTGTTCTAGTTTTTTGTATAAAAAAGCATGGCTGCTTAAGTTTTGATGCGGCAAAAAAATTTTTTTTTTAGACTTCGTTATATTGTTAAAGCGATTACTCAAGGAAAGTAAATTGAGTTTGCGTTTAAAGTTTCGAAGTTGAGGCAACTTAAGGACCACTAAGATGAAGATGTTTATGAGTAGATGTGAGGAAAATGAGTTTGAAGAGTGGTCTGGTCTGCTAACTTGATCATCTGCTGGATGATTCGGATGACCCGCAGCCACACAACCCCCTCCGCAATCGAGTGTTCCATGTTCACTCCGAACAGTCCATTTGAACTGCTTATTATCTGAAATGAAAGAGCACTTCTTATTCATTGCTTCGGTCCAGTCGGAAGAAATGTGCTCCCTTTTACTCCGACCACCAACTAGCACCGAGCTTTGCATGCTGTTTAAATAAAGATGTATTTTATTGTTTTTTGTATTTCGCCCTCAAAGTGGAAAGGAACTTTGTATTCGGGTGTTTTCACTTTTAACTTGGTAGATGTTTCTCTGCGAACAACCGCAACTAAACGTCGAATAGGTTCGAGTGGTGAATCACATTAAAGCCCTTTCAGTCCTGATTTGATCAATGTGGAACCTGATCTAAACTACATTTTATGATTGGATAAATTAGATATTTTACCACTGTAAAGTATTTAATATTAACCAATCATGATCCATCTAACTAACAACCCACTTATTTGTAAGTGCTGAAATTACTTGTAATTTCAGCACCAGAGAGATTTGAATTTAACTTAGAAATTAGTTGCCTCTCCAAGAGAACTTCAGCAGCCGCAATAAACCAGTATACCCTAGATCTATTGAGCCTAGCAGAGACTAGTTAAACAACCTGAGACTAGAATAGTATAAGAGTAAGATTAGGATCGGTATTAGACTAAGAAGTTGCACGAATCTATCCGGCCGAAAATAAGATAGCGTGACGAGCAGACGGTGTACCCTATCCGAAATTACTCTATGAGTTAAGACCATCGGTTATAACTCATCTGGTGCGACCATAAGTCTCGAACAAGAGCTTAATAGCTTAGAATTAACCAAAAATAGATTAGAATTTAGACAAAACATTTTTAAAATGTTACACGACGATAATTTAATCGAAATGTCTCTACGACTCAATAGATCAAAGCCGATATTCCGAACGATAATAGAACTACCCGGAATTGGAAGAAGACCTCGAACCAGAGACGACATACGACAAAGTAGAAACTTACCAAATAGTTATATGATAGTACGGCAAAAGCCAACACAAACTTTTATATTTAGAATCTTATTAGCAATGAATTTAGATTTTCATTTGCAAACTTAAATCTTGAAGTCAATCTTCATGATCATTTCAGGCGCTAAACAAAAATATTAATATACAATAACGATTGATAAAAAGATCTCAGATAGTTTTCCTAAAATTCTGCAGTATTCTATAAAACATGTTTGGAAAATATTTATTGAAAATCAAAACAAAAATTAGTAGCATGACAATAAACTGTTAGTAATCATAAAATCATCAGTTGTCCCAGCTTCATCACCTAAAACATAACAGCAATCATAAGCTCACTAATATCATTAAAACACTAAATCTTTTCTTGAATAAATTTAAACCATTTTAAACTTAAATTCACTTAATTTTAAAATCAGATCATCAAGGCTTATCCTTGGATCTTAATTAATTTTCTATTTAATTAAATTTAAAAAACTTGATCATCAAGGCCTATCCTTGGATCAAAAAGAACAATTTTGTTCTCCCCCACCCACTTAGCTAGTGTCTAACGACCTCAAACGTCGATTCACTATCCAACCCTTTCAAAAAACCCAAGACTAATAGAAATTTTTGAACAAAACTAATCATTCAAATTAGGATAAACAGTGAAGAACTTCAGTTATTCATCCTTCACTTGAACCCTCCTCTTACCAGACCCAGGATAAATCTTAGACTCAGTAAGTTTAAAATAGTATCTAACGAACTACTCGCGTTCTAATTATACCTGAACCTTGTGGATCGATTTACTATTCTCCAACCCTTGAACACAATCACTACCCCTAAGTAAGATTAAGTAAGTTAACACCTTAGCTTATACTAGCCACGAGAAAGTAAAAAATCATTCTTCGGAATCGATATACTTTTCTCTCCAACCCTGAACAAATAGACCCAGGTTAAGCTAACCAAAAAATCGTAAGGACTAACAATTTAAGAAAATAGAAATCATCTAACAACTTTTTGCATCCGTCATCCTAAACCTTATGTCATTTAAAAATCTAGGAAACAAACAAACAATCGTTTTACACAACTGTGAAATAGATAACAAAAAATACGACCTTGTAATCACACCTCATACACAAACAGTTGGATATATTAGAACAAAACGACAAACACTAAAAAAGAAAATAATAACCAAACAAAGACAAATAACACGAAAAAGATTTTCCAAAAATAGAAACGCATTTTCAGAATCAGAAACCAAAAATTTAGACGAACTTTATAAATTAAAAGAATCTATAGATAAAAATTGCCCCATTCACGATCAATTATATTTTTCAGACTCAGAAACAACTTCAAATTTATCAAAAAGAGGAAAAAGAAGAATAAAAAAACAATATAAACACAAACCAGTACACTTGTATAATTGGAATCAACCAATTAGACACATCGATAATTGCCCATTAACAGTTATTAAACGAAAAAATGAGCCAAACACACACTCCAAGTGAAGATAGTCCAGACGATGACGATATCTACCCCTTCCTAGTAGATGCACCCGATAATAGAGGACAACATGGTCTTTGTAAGAACTTTCTTCTAAATTTGTTTGAACCCGGAATTAGCCCATGTAAAACAGAGTTCCCAGATGTAAAAATAAAAAGACAGATTATTGATCACTATCTGAAAGATATATGTAACTTAACACAACAATACGGAATCTACACCATAGAATTCAGCTCACCAAACCCAAATCACCGCAAATATGTAATTCAAACAGACGATCTTGATTTAGAATTTTCAAAAGTATTCTCAGAATATATAAAAAGCATAAAATATCATAACTCACAAAGAGCAAACTCCATATTTACTAATGAAGTTTTTGCAATAATATATAGTCATATTTCAATATTAGAAAATGAAAACCTTATCCCGCATATCTCACCGAATGAGACATCCAAACATATAAAGGTACGACATGAAATCACACTATTCTCAACTTTTCTACATATAATTAATGAAAATTTCACTAAAGATGAAGTTTCACAACATACAAAACATGACTTACAAAAAATTTTGGCATGGTTTATAATAGATTATTTCACACATAATATAGATTTAATTTCACAAGCAAGAAAAAATTTCAGACCCCAAAATTCAAACGATGATACCGCCATCACAGAACAATCAGACTACGTTTGGGACCCCGAATGGTGTCATTATGCGTTCATAAATATCCCACAATCAATCTCAAGTCAGGCAATAAGTACAATACCTTATGTAAGAGATTATGTAAGGGTAATACCATTATCCATTGATGCAACACCATTAAACTACAATACATTTTTACCCGATACGCGAAATAACAGTTTAAATTCGACCGTCATACACAATGAAAACCTTAATGGAACTAGGAACCTCACTCAACAAGATATTCAAACACCATCACACTTCATAAATGAAGAAATCGTCCAAACAACAACAACTACACAACAAAGTATTTCACCGATACGTCCAAATTTAATAACACCAAGAAATACAAACACTTCACTAGCACAAGTAACCTTACAATCAACCGTTAAACCTTCGGTTGCTCCAATATATTCACAAATAGATTATCAAACATATAGACCCATGACAATACCGTCAAAAACACGCAGAACATTCACAAGAAACACTTTTGCGGATCATAATTATAATTACACACATTCATCAAAAACAAACTATCCCCCACGAAAAAATAATAATAATCAGATAAGATCTCAATATTGGTATAATCCAATGGCAACAACCAACTCAGTAAATTAATATTGGGATAATCCAATGGCAACAACCAACTCAGTAAATTTTCAAACTAATTCACATCCTCCACAGGATCGTAGTGAAAATTACCCATTCTTTCAACAGAATAAAAATAAAAAACAAGCATCTCATCAAACGGATTATCTATCCTCTGATGATGATTATTTACAACCAGATATATTTGCACCATACACTCAAGAATATCGTGGACGAAGAGTGCAGAAACCACATACACATCATAGAATTTCTTCTCCACACCCAATAGATACACAAAATCAACAACCAATACAAATGCAAAACCCAATTAATACACAATCTTTTCAACCAATTCAGCCACAAAACCCAATGATCACACACTCGTATCAACCAACACAAATGCAAAATGAAATACCACTCCCATATTACCTTCAACAACACGAAATAACAAAAAATCAACTTTCAAATTTTTCACAAATGCCAAATGCCGCAGAATCATTACAAATGACAATGAATCCATACCTTATGGGTGGATCATCAATAACATCAAACAAACCATTAATGGTATTCACAGGAACAGACCCTGAATATTCTGTAGAAGATTATTTAAATGCAGTAACAGCAAATTTAATTTTAAATATAGGACCTGAACCAATTAATACGCCACTACATCAAAATTGGATACATCGACGCACAGCGTTGATACAGACAACCTTAGACGGCGCAGCCCAAAAATGGTTTTCAGTAATGCCTATAGAAATAAAATCAAATTGGAAAAGATTTACACAAGAATTTTCAAAAATGTTTGACTCCGAAAGAAACAAACAACAACAAAGAGTTTTATGTAATGAAATTCGCAGATTACCAAATGAAACCATCAAACAATTAGCAGTACGTATCGAAACACTAGTTCGAAAAGCATATTCATTAAATACACACGACTATAAAAACACAAAAATGACAGAAATCTTAATGATGACCTTAACACCTCAATTAAGGAAAATAGCAATAAAAAAGAGAGCATCCCATCCCTCCTCAATTCGAGAGCCCGATTTAGATTTTCGAAAACTAGTAGACAAACTAGAGCAAGCGGAAATCACAATGAAACTTGAAGAAACAGAAAATCTGAAATTACAATATGTTAACCGAATTGAAACAAATACCACAAATATCAACAATGTACAGGAATCAGATACAGACCTCGTTGAAAAAATCACTGAAATACTCAATATTTATGAAAAACACCCAAACTTTAAAGGCAAACCATCTTTCAAAAAATGGTGTAATTATTGCCGACGTTACGGACATAGTATTTCTGAA